ATGGCAATGTTTAAAGCATTTGTTCCCTTTAGACGTAAGCTTTTTGGTACATGTTCAGAAAATCGTAGATATGCCCTCCTTCTTTCTGTCCTTCCAATGTAACTGCTCCCGCAGATAGATGTAAATTTCTATATACAGTTGGAATTGTTAACATGAGGAGGATATCTATCGATTTTTGATTGCACCAAAGTGCAAGTTGGTCGACAGATGGGAACGAGCTTGGCTGGCTTCAGGATAGGCTGTGGCTAGTAATGTACACTCAGCCTTCTGTTGATCATCGCTGCAATGTTTTCACCTTTATAATCAAGCTGAAAGTAGAACTCTGTGCAAGTATGTTAAAATTGTTTTTGTAGGTATATATTTAATAATGTCTTTGGCCTGTAAGCAGCTGACGCGAAGGCAACGAAATAAACACTGATGGTACCACTTTATTGTGCTAAAATTGTAGTTCTTGCTTTTTTCAAATATATAGAACTGTTGATAGGTGTTCCCCCAGAATGAGAAATTAGGCTCCCCAAAGTAACAGTCAAAATAACTGCCTCTAGAAGGCTACACTAATAGGCTACATCTAAAAGAAAACACTTTCATTCAACAATTTTCTTTTTAAGGCTTCCACCTTCTATAGACTTAACTGATCCACTAGGGCTTACTGGATAGATCAGTCAGTAAGTAGGTGAACTATCATTTGCCACACTTGAATATCTACATCATCACCATACGCATATACCTTGCAAGCTTTTTTTTTAAAATAACAATGACGTTGATTGGTTGATTGATTGATCGATCGACTTACCGATTGATTGACTGACTGACTGACGGATAGCAGTTGTCTTTTTGACTCATCATATCACATTTTTAATAATCAAGTGTGTAGGCGAGTTAGAAATCACATTAGAAATTATGCTATTTCAAGCAAACACAGATTTTTTTTTTATGATCTCATGGTTAACTGATGTTAAATCATTCATGGTATTATTATGATTATTATTACTATTGAGCTTTTAAACTTTTTAAATGTTTCAATCACACATGCTCTGGTTAGAAAGATAAAGAAAGGGAGGGAGAGAGCATTTATGATGTTGGCGTAATAAGAAAGTGTGTTGCAAAATTAAACATCGTAACAAAAAACATTTAAGAATGATTAACATAAACGTTTGGTAATCCATTCAAATCAGGATTATCAAGGTAAGTGGGTTAAGAGTAATAATAAACTGTTTTTGAATACACAGTGGGTAGGGGGACTTCAGTTTATGAATAGCTATAGCCTCGGCATATTTCAATAAGCTCCCTTGACCGTTTTTATAGATGACCTTAAAAGCTGAGTTAACATCAATCTTATGATTCATCTCGATTAAGTGTTTGGCTATAGACGAAGTTGCTGGTCTGACACCTGAGTCTGTAATTCATTTGTTTTTCCAGCCATTTTGGGATATGGTCTCCCACCCTCACATGCAAAGCACGATTACTCCTCCCCATGTTTGTGTGACCACACACACACACACGCACACAGAAGAAAACTGGTAAATAGTGTGGTATGTGACACAATCACTTGTGCACTTTTGAAGTTTGCAGTGAAGCATATTTTTAGCTTTTCTCGACAATTACAAGCTGGACTGCATAATAGGTTCTACGGATGATCGAATTCAACCTTTGTCTCAAAATCCTACTGTTTATTTCCCCGTTATATGCTAGTTTGATGAAAACCTTTTTCTTAGGGGCGGTATGGATTGTAGGCTTAGACACTAGTTGACTTTTACACCTGTTTAAACAGTTTAAAGAATGTCCGTTCTCAAAAAGAGCATCCATGAATATTTCGTTTTTTTTGTCTATAACATCAGTCGTACAAATACGCTGAATCCCCTTAAATAGACATTTCACCAAGCCTCTCTTATACTGTAATCGACAGAAACTGTGAAAATTAAGGTAACATTTTCATATATATGTATGTATCGACTTGACAAGTAAATGTGTGAAGGATCAGATTGTTCGAAATGTAGATGGCGCAAATACATCACATTGCTTTTCAGATAATCTCCGTCTTCTTATAATGCTATCCAAATTTATAAAAGGGACAAATTGTTTTAGAAATAGCTTTAAACTTTCACAGAAATTTCTATGCCAGTAGATTTAATTGCTTTCTTTTTTTATTTAAGTCATTCATTTCTTCAGTTTAGATATAATAATAATAATAATATAATTTTTCCTTCACGTTCCCAGTGGAACATATGGCTTCAAGCTAGTGGCTTGAAGTTTCTGTAGCAGTGTTTATTTTTACAGGATGGGGTTGCTAGCCTCATGCCCAACCTTACCACTTTACCAGCATTATTATTTCTGGCTTAGCAAGGTAAAGGAGTGCGTCTGTGGCCGGGGATCGAACCTCGGACCATGTGCATGGTTGGCGATCGTCCTAACCGCTGTGCCACCGACGCACTCAGTTTAGATAGTGCGCTTTTTTTGATTGTTCTTTTTTTATTGAACATTGAATTTTTTGCTGACAATTTTAAACATTGACCATAAGATGTGTATATTCACACGAGACGAATTTCATCTGAATAGAATGACATGTATATTTGTGTTTTTTTGTGGTGAGTGAAAATCAGTGGTTAGAGAAAATCGGTGGAAACTATAGAGTCTCATCTGAACAATCGTTTCGTCCTTGTTTAGAAGCCCTCATCAGTATTTACTATTACTATGGCTACACCACTGATTGGATATGTAACAACACAAGACAAGGGCCAGGAAACAGATCGTTTATTGCGAAAATCAAGAGATATTTATAGATTTTTATGTACATTATTATTAGCGGGAAGCAACGTCTTCTGATTGGTCGTTTTCTTGCTCAAGGTTATTCTGCACTGCTTGTACCGTTTCTTAGAAAGTTAGGCCATATATCTGCGAATCGTACCCGCCTACGCTATGTCTTCTGTGATTGGTTGTTGAATTCCTCAAGGTTCAGCTTTGTTATTGTGTTTTTTCTCTCATGACCCCGATTCAGGACGTAACATTTACGTAAATTGTTGTCTACAATTTTGCCTAGCAGACAGCTCTCATCACAAATATAGGGCATTTAGTTTTCGACATAAGACTGTTGATCATTTAAGCGTGTTTAGTGTGCCGTTCAGTAGTTTCGTTGTATTGTTAATTGATAGAAGTTTAAATCCACTGCGACCATGCATTTCAATCCATTAACTCGATGTTAACGCGAGGTTCGATTCCTGATTGCGTCGTTGGTGTGCACTGCTGAGAAGTATTGAACTGAGGGGAAATATCTGTCAAGTGTATATCATCTCTTTTTGAATAATTCGCAAAATAATGTTGGTTTCGGACGAAATTCACAATGGAATTACTAAAAATCCCAACAAAATTATAAATTATGAATATCTACATATTTCATCGACCTTACCCTTATTCATTCGTTAGGTGTTATGTTAGTTATGCGTCTTCCAAGCGATTATTACTATTTCAAGTTTGGTTACGAATATATATCAGTCGAAAAAGCACTTGAAACTGGGGAGTAGTGCACAGCTTTCTGTTTCATTTTTTGGGGACTCTTCATCTGTACGGACTCATTGGGATTCAAACCTTGGGAAGCTACTTAGGCCCCACTCAATGGCTCATGAATTCCAACTTCTACCAATTCGTGATTTCAGCGTGACTTCTGGTGCGAGTATTTGTCCCGACACCCGACCTGCTTGACTCCTCTGGTCACGACTTCTCACTAGAACTCCATTCAAATTCTACGTGTAGCCAGTCATTACAGAGCATCTGATTTATTTTCAAGGATATCAATCCGTAGTCTGTGTCGAGAGCCGTCTGCTAGCCGAAATTGGTAGATAGTAATTGACGTCAAATGTTACGTCCTGAATCGGGGTCATGAGAGAAAAAACACAATACCGAAGCTGAACCTTGAGGAACTCAACAACCAGTCACAGAAGACTTAGCGTAGGCGGATACGATTCACAGATATATGGCCTGACTTTCTAAGAAACGTTCACAAAAAGATGACAGAATAATCTTCAGCAGGAAAACAACACACGCCCTTTGGTCGACAGCCAGCCAGAGACGGCGTAAACTGGTATATGCGAACCGAACTTTTCGTATTTGTGCTGAGATTTCGTCAGTGATCAACCCGCTGGTGTTGGCTGATGCAACTTCCCAAATAATTGATTGAAGTGGTCAACACGCTCCATCAACCAATTCACTCCCTATTTCTAAACTGGGAATCAATGTAGTCCATTCAGTCCCGTAGCATCATCCTACATTTAACAGCGAGAGCGAATCGCATGCCAAACATTCGAAGACTGCTGCACAGCTCAAGGTGTTTATTCAGAAGACTCTGCATTATATGTCAGCGTCTTCACCACCTAGAAAGACTATATCATCTGCATATTCTAAGTCGACGAGATTATTTCCTAGCAAGTAAATAAGTCGATCCCTGAGTCGATGAAGTGAGTTAGGGTTAATTTCATTAGTACATTTATGATGAAACTGAATAGAAATGGGGATAGTGAGTTGGTATCCCTGTCGGACATCACTAGTTGTCACCACTTCAGATGACAACTCACCTTAAGCTCTTACTTAGCTATATGAGTTCGAGTAGATTGTCTTGATCAGTGCATTTTATATTCAGGAGAAGCTATAGTCGACGAGGTGTTGAATTATCGCTCTCCTTGTGGGGAAGCTCTGCTTACAACCATATGAGATACAGTTTATAAAGTCTTTCAGACAGGATACTCGTCTAACGATTAAATATACCTGCCTCCATATGAACAGGTGAACTGATGTGTGTGTGTGTGTGTGTGTGTATGAGCGCGTAGTATATATAGAGATGCACATAGATAGAAGTGGGTTAGATACGAGACCTTGTCTTTATCCGGGTTTCCGTATATAAGATAATCAATATACGTTTTATTATTTTTCTTATCTTGTTACATATATATATATACAATGGTCTCATCATTACTCTCTTCCCCTATTTTTTTTCTATATTTTCTCTACAGACTGTAAGAAAAACCCTCGTCAGACGAAAACGAAACAATAAAACTTGGGAATCATATTATATACCTTTATAATATTATAGACATATGGAGTGCCTCGTGCATCACCATACGCCGTCAGAAGCATTCTTCACTTGAGAGTATGTACATGTCTACGTGTGTGCCTTCACTTTGTACCTGTCGTCCCTCCCTTTGTCTCTGTCTCTCTCTCACTATCTACGTAACAGTACTAACTGTAGCTAATATAAATATATAAAGAAAACCCTAAAGAATTATTTGTTTCACATTTCAATCACATCAACAATCACTTCTTTTTCTCTGTCTAACATGGAGTAGTGTGATGTGGTGTGGTGTAGTCCTCTGTAGTGTGGATATGATGCTCCATCTTTGGTCTTTTGTATCTTTCTTTCTTTTCTGCTTATTTCTTTTTCCTCTAGCTCTCTCTCTCTTTTTGTTTTGTAGTTTGGCTGAAGTGAATCATCAAGCCGCAGCCCCCCCCGCATCCCTCCCTCAAAAGAAAAGAAACACTTCGAAAATGTTTCATGATTTTGTTTTCATTATTATTCTGATTCTTCTTCTTCTTGTCGATACTGTATGTGCCGGTCTGCGTATTTCCGTGCGTGCGTGTGTAATCCTCTTTATCCGTAGTTACCTAAACTGCCCTATTACATCACCGTCGTTGTACTACCATCATCAGTATGCTCCTGTTTATCAAATTCCTATGCATTACACCCAAGGAATATGCAAAAGAAGTGGGAATAATAACAATAATAGTTACACGCCTGTTTGGTATTTACTATAGGAAATATTTTCCCAGTTGTGAAGAAGTCACAGGGGAAGGGATGGCGGTCGGTCGGTCGGTTGAGTGGGTATTCTGGTAGAAGACACTGGTGGTGATGTAACACACACTCTGATACACATTCCTTTTCTTCTTCATCTTTGTCATCATCACTGTTTTGTTTTCCATTTTGTTTCTTTTATGTTTGTTTTTCGGTGATTTTTGTTCAGGTTTTGATCTTTAAATTGTTTTCATTTTGCTTACAATGTTGATGCTGTGAACACTAATCATTTCATTCATTCATTCATCACCTTACCGACACGCATATACCCACACACACACACACACACACATACCTACAAACATACAGACGTGTTCAAAGGTTTAGTTTCACTGAGATACTGATCCATGTGATTTTTCTGCATCTTTCATTCTTCTTCATTTTTGTTTTGCCTTTTGTAGATTTTTTCTTTGAGTTGACGAGTGTAATTGTCTCTCTCCCTCCTTTTTTAGGCACACACGCACACATAGACAAACAGACAAACACACCTACGCAACTGTGTATCTATGCCATGAATAGGTTGGTGGGGGTGGGATGGGGTGAATCCATTAAACAAAATAAGTCTTATCATTGTGTTATTCTCGGTGCCGATCTTCTTTTCCCCTCCTCTCTGTATGACACGTACATCGGTTTTTCTCTTCCGATTCTCTGATTATGACAAAAAGCAGTGCTCAAAATCTACTCAATCGATTACATGATACTACAGTCGATTAAGAAAATTGCCTATTTTCTTTTAGGTGTTCATCGACGCGTTGGAAATTCTTTAGTCAGTCAGTCAGTTAATCAGTGTCTCTTTGTGTCTGTGTGTGTGTTTGCGCCGGCGCACAAGTGCGTTGGAACTGTTCCATTCTTCTTCAGTCGATGAATTGTGTAGAAGCACCCATCCCACCTCATCTCACTCTACCCTCACAAAAAAATAGTGTACTAGACAGAATTATATATTGAATATTATTTTGTAGTATTAGTGACAAGTAACAGTACTCATTCATAGTTACCACCAGAGTGTTAATACGCTTAGTTGTATTAACAATATTATTCTATTGATTTGTTGAATTATTATTATTTTGTGCGTCTTTCATTCATCATAATACACACAGAGAAAAAATGTATTACACTATAAACAAAATAATGAATTAAAGTGGCGATGATGACGTAATCAGCATGATCATACTCCATACCCCCTATGTCTTCTGATATGTTGTGTTGTATGGTTGTGTACTAATTTTTATTATTCTTATTCTTATTGTTACTCATTATCGATTACAAATTGTTTTGATGATTACTTTTTGAGTAAGAATTCTGTTTCGTCTTCATTGACACACACGCACCCACATACGCGTACACACACACACACACACACAGCAGAATTCTTTCAGTGACAAGTGTTCATCAGTGCCTTAAGTTTTATTTTTCTGTATTCTTCCTCCTCGTACACAAATCATCATCATTACTCTACTACTGTGTGCCTTTTCTCTGTGTGTGTGTGTGTGTGTATGTTTGTGTAAATTTTGTGATCGGTTTTGGATCTGTCTGTTTTGCTTTCTTTTTTTAATTATTATTATTATTTACGTACCGAAACCCAACACACCTCTTCTCGATCAGTGTTCAACTTCCATCTTCTTCAGTGTCGTGGAAGTAGCTTCATGTGTACATCAGGTGATTTGATTTGATTTTTGTTTCTCCCTCTCCTTCTGGCTTGGAGGATCTTGTCTTCTGTTTTTGTTGTTTGTTGTTGCCGTTGCATTCCATCCTGCCGTCGTCCTCTTCAATTCTTCCATCTATTGCAGTCTATCTGATTTCCTCTTTTTCTCCATATCCTGCATGCTTGTGTGTGTCGTGTATTTTTTATTGTGTGATTTTATTAAATATAAGACATAAGCGGAGGGAGGCGCGAGGGTTACTGTGTCCACCTTTTTTTTGTCACTTTTTATACGTTTTTCTGATCAGTATTCAGTTGTGATCATTGATCGGAGATGAAATCTTGTAGTAGTAGTAGTGGTAGTCACCAGGTTTATGCCGGTGTCACGAGTTTCTCCCTCTTCTTCTTTTTTGCTGTTGTTGTTGTTTTCCAAAGAGGCCATCTCGACTCAAATATCTTAAAGTGCGTGTGTGCGTGTATTCATATCGTACGTATCATCTCTGGCTATGTATCTCTTCCCTTCAATATTCATATGCAGGTGTGTGTGTGTGTGTGGTGCTCAAGATGTCCATGAATTATCTCACTTGATTAAAATAATAATCATAATGATGAAAGCAAGTGAAAAGTAAATTAATTGGTTCAGAATTTTTCGTTTTTTTTTGTGTTTTCTTGCCCTCTCCCCCTCACCTCATTTTGTGTACTTAGTCAGGCTGAGTATTCAACCGACTGGTGTGTTTTCTTTGCCCGTCTCTTTCTCTATCTCTTAAAACTCTACGCCTTCACTTTTCTTTCTTCTCTATTCATCGTTATCATCATCATGTGTGTGTATATGGTACTTTTTGTACCTACTGTACTGTACTTGGTTAGTGCGTATTGTTCTTACCTATTATGACTGTCTTTTTCATACTAATTTCATCGTCTAAATTGTATTTTTTCTTTTTTTCTGGTTACAATGATAACCTGTACCATTAATACTGCTAAAACTGTTTATCTTCTCTCCCGGGGTGTTTTTTTTGTAACGATTTCTCTCTATTGACGACGAGTCTTTATAGTAGTATCTGTGTGTATGTATGTTCTAACATACGTGCGTGCGTGCATGCGTACGTACGTACGTATATATGTGTGTCTTCTCTTTTTTGACTTCATCCACGAATTTTGTCACTTTTTCTACGATTGATATTTGAAGAAAAAGAGTTTTACGGATTTCGTTGTTGTTGTCGCTGTTTGTCTTTTGCTTTATGTCACAAGTTGATGGGTTGACAAGCTTGGCCCTATTGTCTGAAAGTCTCATGTGCGGAAATAGTAATATGTGGGCATCGTCGGACTTTCAAATGCGTCGGTGGCGCACTGCGGTAGAATTCTCACCAGCCACACCTCACACGTTTCGGGGTTCGATTTCCGGCCAACGAGGCACTCCCTTACCTCACTAAGTCAGCAAAAAGACTGGTAAAGAGGGAAGGTTGGGCATGAGGTAGGCTAGCAATCCCATCCCATAAAATTCAACACCTTGTGCTACCGAAACTTCAAGTCTCTAGCTTGAAGCCCTAAGTGCCACTTGGGGGACGTAAAGGAATAAAAAGAAATCGGGCTGCCTTTATTGCAATGACCCAACAAGCTACATAGGCTGGGCTGAATTCCCTGGACATCATACTATGCCAGAAAGGTCGTTTGGAGATCAGTTACACTAAAAACAGTCACTATGGTAGTGTAAGTTATTTACAATACACGTTGTGGGTGTGTGTGTGTGGACGTAATCCTACCGCTGCCAAATAAGGATTTAACCTCAGTAAGGTGTTTCTCCTGCCTGTACCCTCTGGCCAGGGGCCTGAGTTATAAAAAAGGTATACCTTGCTGGGCGATCCGTAACCGGTGTTAAGAACATTAATATAGACTCAATTCTAAAAAAAAACCAATTCAAACAGGCCGTGTGTTGTTTTTTGGAGCTTCACACGGTGGTCACTCAACATTAATGCTCCTTGTATTTCAGGTGTCTCGCGCACTGTTGAAGTGTCTCCAACTAGAATGAAATAAGTACCCAATGTACTCTGGCTTCTGCAGTGATTCTCTGACAGATGTCACTTTGTGACGAAATCTACACTGGAATTTTCGGACACGGTTTTGTGTAGGTGTGTCGCGTCACATGGATTCGCTAATCATCTTTTTTAAATAATATTGATTTGTAAAGTATGATCAGTGCAATTATAGTTCATTAAAGACGCTTAAATTATAATAACGACAATAATAATAATAAAGATATAGTAGCAAATAGAATATCAACTAAAATTAAGAAAATTCCACAAAAATTCAGGACCATTCAAACCTAGATGGCCGGCCATGGGGGTAATGAAAATGTCTGATCTAACTTCTTTTGAATGCATAAATTAGGCCTGTTAATATGGATCCCAACAGCCAGCCTCAACAATATTTAGTAGTCGAACTCTTAAGGCAAAATTGAGATTCATAGGTATGCGGTAAATGACCCTGAAAGCCACCTCGTTTACACCAATCTTGTGTTCTGTCACCACAAGATGAGATAGAATAGCGCTGAGAATAGATTTAGTTTGTCCTTCGCTTAACCACACAGGGTGATGTTCGGAAATTCAATGAGAAACACGCCTAATTGTACGGCCTATGCAAATAACTGGCTGACTCCACAGGAGCAGTTAAATTGGTAGATGCACATGGATAAGGCGAAATTAGTCAGTTTGTCTTTTACTCCCGAACGCAAGAGAAGAGTGGTTTTGAAGACACAGTGTAATTCGGCATCAGGGAGTGCTCTTTTTACCGCATTTCCAAGGCGTTGTGTTAGTATCTCGCTGATGTTGTCCCCAAGGAACTGCATTTGTAAGAATAAGGCCTTTTTAGGAACTGTTGGTACCTTGGGCTGCTTCGATTTTTCATTCATATTCTTATCAATAAACTTTTCAGGATAACCATTTTCACTCAGGAATCGTTTAATATTATTCAGTTCCTAATCAAGACATTCATACCAGCAGATTGCTCCTGCTCTGTTAACCAAGCACTTTATCAGATCGCGTTTGTATTTCAAGGGCACGAAGCTGAGAAAATGAGTATACTGACAGTCAGTTGATGTAGGTTTTCTATATACACTTCTTCTTATTGTGCCATTCTCTTTTCTGGTCATAAAGACGTCTAAAAATGGAATACCAGAGTCTTTTTCTTTCTCAAAAGTAAAATTTATTGCAGGATGAACCTCGTTAAATTTATCCAAGATTTTCTTTGCTTCTTCCTCATTTTTCATCGTCAAAAATGTATCATCCATGTACCGACAATAGAATTCAAGTTCATTAATAACATCCTTCAGAGGCCCATTTTCTAGTTTCGCCCATTTTTCTAGTTCCTATTCCAAATCAGCGTCTGCTGTAAACGTCAGTAGAGTACATCAGTGGTTCAATGGTAGAATAATCGCCAGTCACGGGTTCGATTCCTGGTTGGCGCATTCTTAAATTGACGCTAGTTGGTAGTAAGCCTGGAGAAGAAGGGAGGTTGGGCGTGTGGAGTTAGCAACGCCACAGTGAAAGAAAAAATAACACCACCGTTACGGAACCTTCAAAGCTTGAAGCTCCATATTCCACTTGGATTATTCATCCCTCGTGAGCAGTGTTAACAGATGGCTAGTTTAGACATTTAGAAAACAGAAAGATTGAGCGAAGAAATACTTATCTTTCAACTGGATCCTCATCTCTGGCTCTACTCTAATACATACATATATATATATATATATTTATAGCATTTTAATTACAATACAACAGTTTGCCAATCAAGTGGCGATAAGTTTGTTAACAATAATTAAACAGTGTCAAAATGTCAATGGGTTTTCTGTACACATAGGCTTGGCTTCTTCAGGTGCGTCGGCACATGGTCCGGGGTTCGAGCCCACGCCGGCGCACACCTGATATCTATGGTCGGCCTGAAAAATTTGGGCTACCGATATCCATGCTGAAAATTCCATACTTGTACCAAAAATACAGTGTGGAATCAAGCTGTAAATCAAAAATAATAATAAAAAAAATAAAAAATTCCAATCGCCTCAGCCGTCTGTAGAAGACGAACTCGCAGAGCAAAATTAAGATAAGTCGGAATGCGATAGATAATTTTAAATGCTGTATTAACATCAATCTTATGCTCAGTATCAACGAGGTGGGCTAAAATAGAGCTACGAATAGATCTTTTTTGTTCCTTACTTAACCACGTTGGATGATGTTTGGAAATACGATGATGAACCTGCCTAACTGTACTCCCAATGTAGCTGGCTCCGCAGCTGCAGTCAAACTGGTAGATACACATAGAGGAGGCGAATTTAGGTAGTTTATCCTTATTTCTCGAACGTAGAATAAGGGTGGTGGTGAAGAGACAACGTACCTCTGCTGCATAATGGGCTCTTTTAACTGCATTCTTCAGGCGCTGTGTTATTAATTCGCTGATGTTGTCACCGAGGAACTGCAATTTTATGAACATTGGTTTTTTCGGGACTGTGGCCATACTAACTCTCCTTGGAGCTGAAGAATGCAGTTAAAAGAGCCCATTATGCAGCAGAGGTACGTTGTCTCTTCACCACCACCCTTATTCTACGTTCGAGAAATAAGGATAAACTACCTAACTTCGCCTCCTCTATGTGTATCTACCAGTTTGACTGCAGCTGCGGAGCCAGCTACATTGGGAGTACAGTTAGGCAGGTTCATCATCGTATTTCCAAACATCATCCAACGTGGTTAAGTAAGGAACAAAAAAGATCTATTCGTAGCTCTACTTTAGCCCACCTCGTTGATACTGAGCATAAGATTGATGTTAATACAGCATTTAAAATTATCTATCGCATTCCGACTTATCTTAATTTTGCTCTGCGAGTTCGTCTTCTACAGACGGCTGAGGCGATTGGAATTCACCTGAAGAAGCCAAGCCTATGTGTACAGAAAAAATTTGTACAGCCACTTTCCCTACCGTGGCCATCGTCACAAGAATGGATAAACAGGACTGAGTCGCCCTCCTCCCCCTAAACCTATAAAATTATATTTGTCTAAATTATTTATTTTATTTATTTTGACCACTTCATCTTTAATTACGTGTTATTCTTGTAAAATTAATTTATTCTATCCATTTCCACCTTTTAAATCTGTATTGATTTTCTTCGTTAACTATTAACCCATTGACACTGTTTAATTATTGTTAACAAACTTATCGCCACTTGATTGGCAAACTGTTGTATTGTAATTAAAATGCTATATATATATATATATATATATATATATATATTAGAGTAGAGCCAGAGATGAGGATCTAGTTGAAAGATAAATATTTCTTCGCTCAATCTTTCTGTTTTCTAGATGGCTAGTTGTATAGAGGATGTGATTCTGAATACTATCTAGGTCAGACAGTTCCAGTGACTTATGGTTAATTTCTTCGCCAAGTTAAATTTTAAAAACCACTGACTACCACCAATGGAGTGCGACCACACCAATGACCTTGAAACGCTCACTGAAGGAAGTTAGTGAAACCTGGCAAACAATGTTGTCAGCATCAACAAAATATGCTAATCGAAGTGTTCTGCCAATAAATGGGATATCTGGCAATTTACAGCTTAGGTTTTGGAAAGATTAAGTTACCATTTAGACCAAGAACAAGTTAAGGTTAGTGTACAATTTGTGGATGGTGGCTAGCAGTGGAATCCAGGATGCACATTTCGTCCTATTTGGGACTCGTCCTCCAGCTGGATGTACCTGCATTTCTCAGTGAGTTATGATGTTCCCACTGAGGCTCGAACCCAGTGCCCATAGTTTCAAACGCCAAAGCGTTATCCACTAGACCACTTGGGCCACGAGAGCCACCTCTTGTGCAACAGGTCATATTAATTATTGAATTGAATTTTTGATTTTCCCGTCGATTGATTGGACCGAAGTGCTTGGTCTCAGGTTGACATGTCGGCTTCTTGTGCAGATGCCTCGACGATGTCTGGGCATTTAATTCGTATACAATTGGTGGATGGTGGCTAGCAGTGGAAGCCAGGATAACGCGCATTTCGTGGCCCAAGTGGTCTAGCGGATAACGCTTTGGCGTTTGAAACTATGGACACTGGGTTCGAGCCTCAGTGGGAACATCATCACTCACTGAGAAATGCAGGTACATTCAGTGACGAGTCCCAAATAGGACGAAATGCGCATCCTGGATTCCACTGCTAGCCACCATCCACCAATTGTATACTAATTAAATGCCAAGACATCGTCGAAGCATCTGCACAAGAAGCCGACATGTCAACCTGAAACCAAGCACTTCGGTCCAATCAATCGACGGGAAAATCTCAAATTCAATTAAGGTTAGGTTAACCTAATACAGTAATTTGGAAACTACTCGAG